TGCACTTTATGCGCTCGGTAACTAAACTGGGCTGACCACTACTATCCGGCTCAAAGTGTCCGACTCCGCATTCACAAGGGAAGGGAATAGACTTTCGCGGCTCCTTCTCCACTCGGGTCCGCCGGGGTAGAGGCACGTAGCGCAAGGCTGCGCGCAAGGTTGTTTTGTCCGGGGATACCGTTCCGGGAGACTCTATCGTCGTCAAGTGGACACCTCTTTCGATATATCAGCGACATCCTTCGACGCTACGGCGTCTACAGTTGACTCGACTGTCGTGACTTTTTCCGTGACTCTTGCGGAAATAGGCTCGAGCGGGATTTCGCCTTCGCTCGTACACAATTTCATCGCCGCTAACGACTTTCCTCTCGAGCTTTCGAGAAGGTTCAGCATCAACTGCCGATCGCAAACGCGATCTTTTCGCCGCGATGATACGCAATAATTTAGACCTTAATGCCATCTCGTCTCCTTCTGTCGCGGGTGCTGTCGCAGGTCTTTTTGGTCTTCCAACAGACACGGCATTCCCAGTTGTTGTTGTCTCTGCACAAGGCGCAATCGGCACCGAACACCGAACCAATTTGCTCGATACAGGTATTTACATCACAACATGTTGTAAACATTTATATTACATATTATTACCATGTACCATTACCTCGATGACCGTACTTAAGTTGCCGTGTGGGTATAAATATAAAAAAGTATAAAATGCCTCATCTCGTGTGTTACACAAACAAATGTACAGTACAGCCATCCGACTACATATTTACATTCGAATAAGATGATGGTTTAAACGTCGTATGTATTATTACAGAAGCAATTGTACTCACTTGTTCGCTCGCTTGTGAGCGGAGGTCTTGTTGATCGGTGAACTCTCTTACCGACCGCGACGTCGCGTCGGGCTCTCTCGATCGCGTCGTTAACTCGTCGTTATCTCGTCGCTACGCTGGGAACACTCCTCGGTACCTCCTTCGTACCATCCTCTACCTCTATTTTCGCCGAATCACTCCGGTATTTCATTTCCGTTTCGTTTCTATCGTTAGATCGCCGTGTTATTTTATCACGGCGTCGAATTACATCCGACAACGCGTGTTTCAGCGATCGACACGCGTGCAACAGCAGCGTATCTTTCGGACTTCTTTCCGACGGCCCTACCGCTTTCACCCTGCTCCCCACCCAGCTCCTCTTTTGCATTTCTCTCCTTAAACTGCTTACTTTCAGCCGACGTAAAGTCTCGCTCATTAGGAGAGGCCTCACTACCGGTCGGTCGGAGCCGAGCCGTCGTCCTTAGCCGCATCATCCTCGCGCATTCTCTCTCTCTCTCTCTCTCTCTCTCTCTCTCTCTCTCTCTAACGCGACTAACGCGACGATTCTTCAGTGTTTCCCTCGGGATACAATCTGCCCGGACACGGAGCTCTACCGCGTCTCGATCTTTCGCTCTTAGCTCCGTTAGTTTAAGATCGGCCTCGATCGGCCCGGTCGAAATGGTCGAAGCATTCGATGGTCGTTCGCGCGAAACGCTCACGCGACTTTCCCTCCTATCCTCGGCAGTTCGCTGTTTTACTGATCCGGTAAAATGAAGATCACGGACAACATTGTAATCGGAATGTATCTCGGGGGAGGGGGGGGGGGGCATTCGCAACATTCTCCTTCCAGTTGTCCAAATTTGCGCCATCTGCCTTTTCTTTCGCGCCGTTCACGGACACTCGCTGAATATCGTCTCGGCTGGTGGTGAGACTTGAATCAAGAAGGATCTTGGAAACGATCTCCTCTTTGGGGGCTTTGGGCTTGGCTTGGTCTGGCTCCTCTCGCAAACCGTCCTCGTAAGTCCTCGTAACCTCTTCCCTCGCATTTCCTCGTCCTTTCGATTCGGCACAATCTCGCAGATTGTGATATCTCGCGGAAGCTCTTCCTCCCTGACCAATTCCTCACAGACTACAGCAGTTTCTTTTTTGCGAAAGTTCTCTTGCCTGCGTTGCTCCGCAGCACGCAGGCGCAGCAGCGGTACTCGCCCTCGGACAGCCATTCCAAGTCCCGATTACCCTCTCGCGTGCTCGAGTCTCCTCGAGACGCTCCCCGGCATTGCTGAGCGGAAGCGACGCGGTCGCGTCCCGACTCGCCGCCGACTCGGGACTGCGGCGAATCGGGACGACTCGACGACTCCTCAGGCCCGAAGACTCTCTGAAGGGTCCCTCTTCGGCATTCGTCAACGCAGCTCCGCGGTGATCAACCCTCCTTTTGCGCGAGGCAATTGCACACGGGCCATCGCCCGTGCACACTGTGAGCCACTGCTAACCTAACGCGCTGCGTCGGCACCTCGGTGGTCCTCGGCCGATCGCTCACAGCTCAAACGGCGTCCCTGCCGAATGTCCTTACGAGTATTCAGTACCGAGTCCCGAAGCTCGGCAGCCTCGGCTCGCTTGTCTCGGCGCGTACAGTCATCTGCGAGACGTCGTTGCACGTCGGTGCGATCCGTGTAAGTCGATTTCACTAACCGTCCGTTATCATCGATACCTGCGACTGCGGTCGCGTATTCGCTCTCCGTTCTTCCGCAAACATCGTCGTCGTTCTTCTTCGTGATTCTTTCGTGCTTATTCGGCACATCCGACCAAAGAGAGGAGAGTTCGCTGCGGTCTCCGCGGTGAGATCTATATTTTGTTGCCGAGGGATAAATCCAAGACGTTGAGGCTTGAGATTGATCGTCGCGCGCGAGCGCAACAGAATTCGACGACGACGACAACGACGACGAGATCGCGTCTTCGCATTCCTCTTGTTCGCAAGTTTCGACACAAATCTGACATCTATTCCCGTTGGATTTGTTGTTGACGTTACTCGTATCCGCTGGCGCGCTGGCGAGCGTGCGGCTGATCTCGACGCGCCGCGTTTCAACCGCACGGTTTTGCCCGGTGCCATCGTCGTTTCCTCTCCCCTCTCTCTTGTTCCGGCTAGAATTGGGTGCTAGCTGCGCTTGCACTTTTTGCCGTACGCCATTTATCGGTTTGCACACGGCGAACGCGCTGCTGGCACTGACCGGTCGGTCAAGCTCGCGTCGCTTGAGCACGTTTCAGCTTGAGCCTTCAATTTTTGCCTGCCCTTTGCCTGTGCATTTGCACAATCGTATATATTCATCAGAGTCAATAATTACGTCAAATATTACGTCAATAATCATATTATATGCTGTACATTATCATTATATTATTATTCGATGCAATGTAAGATGATGGATTTCTCTCTCGCGCGCGATCACAAAAGTGTCGTTGTTCTTCGTCTGTCTCATCACAGCTTGATATTTTACATTCAAATTTTACAAAGGCAAAATGCGAGATGCGAAAGCTCACTGCTCACCTCACTGTTGTCATTGGCCTCCGAGCAAATATAAATATTGACATTGCCAGTCATTCTGCGATAGTCAGTGTTGGCGTTGCTCGCCAGATTCGGATTCACTTTTCTGCAGCTCTTATTCTTTGCAGCCACCAACGCAGGAGGTATCGCGCATTCGTGCTTCTCGACGTGCGGACACGCCGTATAGGAAACGGCGAGTAATCGGCTGTCGCATCTCTGCGAACGCGAGTTGTGACGCGTTGTTCCGTGCGTTGTCGCGTGCCGACGATTGTCGCGAACATTAAACATTGGATTCTCGCGACCTCGTTCCTCCTCCTCCTCCTCCTCCTCCTCCTCTGTGCGAAACGCGTGACTTTCCTCATCAGGCTCCTTCACGGACATGGAAAAGTCGATTTGTTTCGAACGAGTCTGAATCCTTATCAGACCTGATTCATCGGTCTGAATCAGCAGAGCTGATTCGCGCGAACATACGCAATATACGCGATAAAATTAAAAGAGAGAGAGTGGAGACTTTCAAACAAATTTAACAATTTAATTAAGCAGAGCTCTTTCAGCCTTCCGAGGCGTAACCGTTTCTCGTTGCGCTTCCGCTGTGTGACTTCCGAGCGTCGCATATCAGCGCGCGCGAATCGCGTTCAGCGTAAAAGCTTCTGAAACATGCATCCTGTGAAGATGCACTCGCGTCTTCTTCTTAGATACCATTGAGTAATATTTCGCGACAGTTTGCACAGCTTCTCTGACAGAACTGTTAATAATCTCGTTCAACTTGGCCGGACTGATCTCTTCGCGATTCACTCGCGAAACGACCGTTCTTTCATCGACTTGTTCGCACAGTTCTCTCTGGCTACCTTTCCCTCTCCCCCGCGTGTTTCCAAAATGTACACATCTTTCGCCTCCGACTTCTTCTCGCAACCACATTTATCCTCCTCCATTTTTATCCCTCGTCCCGCGTTTATTCGCAACATCATCTTTCCGCTTTTGCTCGATCATACCGAGAGAGAGGCGTGCGCTTTCATTTCGTTAGCGCTGACGGATAAACATAAACGACAACTTTCCTTGCGAAAACAGACAAACGGACAGAACGGATTAGTTCTAGATCATGTAGCTTCACGCGAAATATACATATCTCTCAACGTACGTTGCGTGAGAAGCGTCACACTTATATTACAAGGTCTCGCTTGGGAATTTTACAAAAGTCTAGTCGTTTGCCGCTTGCCGTCTCTGTGAGTCTCTCTCTTCTTCGTTACACTCTCTTCGGCCAAGCGTCTCTGACCGGACAACAGGCTCAGCAGACTAATTTCCATTATTGCTTCTCATGATGCGAATTTTTCCAAAGTTTTACAGCTCTTGAATGTCATATCATCGTAAACGATGAACTGCGACGCGCGGACGCATGCAGTCTTGCGCTCTCACATCTCTCAACTCGTACCTGACAATTTCAATGGTTAGGGTCAAGTGGTTAGGGTTAGGTCAGGTCAGGTATCATACTCTACTCTAGTAACGGACAACTGTCATTTTACAACATGACAGAAGAAGATGAAATGTCAAAACAAATTGCTATACATACACGTAATGCGAATATATCATCGCATACATGTGTGTTTCTCTCATGACTGATTGATTGCTTTCTCCATTATCGAGGAAGATTCGTCTGTTAGCCCGATAATAGTGAACAGAGAAAATGCAAGTTTTCACAAAAAGAAAAAAAAAAGAAAAGAAAAAAGAAAGAAGAAAAGCAGAAGAGAAATGACGGAACCGATTGTCCCAAATCTTGACTACAGAGAAAACGGCTTACAGCTAAGAAGAAGATCGTATTATCGTATTATCGTATTATCGGTTTACATATCTGATGATTGCATCTGACGTGTATATACCATAATTTACCTGAGAAACTATCTATCCCCCGCTGCATCTCGACGGTTCAATTTTAACACGATAACCTTGACCCGTGCCGACCTGCGGATCCGGTACATTAATAATAAATCTCTCGAATGTCGGCGTCGCAACGGTCAGCACTGACGATAACGAATCGGTTGTTTGCCTCTGATTCTGAGCCGGTCATTGCGGTTGTTTTCAGAGAGAGAGAGAGAGAGAGAGAGAGAGAGAGAGAGAGAGAGAGAGAGAGAGATACGTCAGCGAAACTAACTACATATTTTGCCCGCACGCAATCGTATGATACCAAGTTTTTTAAAACGACATTTATGCCGACAAATATTTAGCATTTGATATATGATACACTCACACACGTATATAAGAGTGTACGTGAGAGAGTGGTTTTCTCCATTAGATTTGACTTGAAAGAATATGCCCCCATTAGACTAATCATCTTTTTATTTTGTGATATTAACAATTGCAGATCGTTATCGTTTCAACATGTGGTTCCTTCCAACTTGCATATTAATTACATATTTATTGCGGAATAATATCGTTATTATCATCTGTGCGTTATTCTCATCGGCCACGGCCGAAACACTAAATCTGACGATTCTCGCAAAGATTGCGAACATTGCGCGACAACGATACTGAGCGATTCGCCCTGAAATCTTTATCCCTCCTTACAGTCGCTTGCATCGCACGTTTCCTCGTATTTATTCATACACTGGCTGTGAATAGAAACATCACCAGTATTAATTACGCCTCCTGTCAAACGGTAGGAGGGACGACGACGACGACGACGACGACGAGAGCATAAAGAGCAGTTTCAATACACTTTAGCTTCGACGTTGTGGTCGTCAACGCATCGAATAATTCGATATAATTAAGTAATAATTGTGTGTGTGTGTGTGTAATAGCATAATTTACACGCTCGCGTTCAACTTTCTTAGCCATTGTTAAATTTCTCGGGAGCAACAGTTACGATTAAAGTTTAATTCACCTGAAGTCTGTTAACAACTTCGTCAAAGTCTGACGTCGTTGCAACTTCTCCACGACTTCCGCTTTCGGAGGGAAATAATTGTTTCGAGCCTTTACGTTCGTACGCCGTGCGCCGAGATAACCGAGATACCGGAGGCCGTCGGCCGGAAGCTTCCTCGGTCGTCACCTTGTCTCGAAACTCACGTAGTACATCCTTAAAGGTTTGCGTTTCTTGATACGGAAGTGAACGAACGCTCCGTCCGAATGAATTTCCGTCGGTCAGTCTCGTCGGAGCCACGGAAACCTCGTGGGCAGAGAGGAAAGAAACGGAGATAGATACAGCGAAATGTGCCATTTCGATTCAAGAGATTCTTCTGCTGATACACAACGTGATCGTAAAACGCCCTTGTTCTACTTTTAGATAGCAAAAATGAACTTTCTCACCCAAGCATCGCGTTCTCTCGATTTCGTGCTGAACGGCGACGGCGGCGAGTCCGTCGTATCTCGAGGAGCGCTCCGAGCTGTCCGCCTTCTCGCGCCTTCTTCGCGTTCTCGAATCAATCTCATTCTATCGTGCTCCTTCAGCTCCTCCATTAACTCTGGCGTTTGATACGCAGGCAGATATCTCTTCAGCATTGGTATTTCCGCGCGTTTGTTCTTCCGCGCGTTTCTATCGCATTGTCTTGTCTCTGTTTGCCGGAACTTGCTCCGTAGTGGATGACTACGGATAATCGCAATAATGTTGCAGTGGCTCTTTATCGAAAAAATTGCGTATAGCAATAACAATAATCGATGTTGGCGTTATTACAATAAGAATTCGACACAATATATCTGCCTTTCTCGCTACGTTTCTTTCACATTTCACAAAAAAAAGTGCAAGATATCGCCGCTTTATTCAGCTTTAACCTCGGGTATCTCATTTTTGCAGGTCGCGACGAACAAAAGTCCGCATCGCTCGAAACACGACGCGAAACATTGATTTCGTACGTTCTTTCGTCAGTTGTCCCACGACAAGATCTGCAGGACCTGTAAGATGCGCAAAGTCCGTCCGTGTTCGTCCGGTGTGTGGAATACCCGAGTTGTAGTTGTCAAAGTAGATAGTATGGGAGGGGGGGTCAATCCAAACACCGTATTTACGGACTCGATGAATTTGATGGTTCATTCAGATGCTTGGTTGATGCCGCTGAAACCGCGGCTGAAGATAACGAGAGCAGACCTCGTTTTGTAAACTTGTGTGCGGACCGCCCCGGCGATAATGTCCCGAACTTGATAATATTCATCGACTCGAGTCTCGACGAGCTCAAAGGCGAAAGGCGAAAGGCGAAAGGCCCGTTCTGCCGCCTCGAACGAGAGAGTCTTTTCTCGTTTCCTCTTTCGCCGCGGTATCGCGGCGTTTCCTCAACTAACTAACGTTGCCTCGTCGCGAGATCTTCGGAGATGCCGCGGCGCAGCAGCAATGTCCGATGAGGCGTTCGATGTGCGCTCCCTTGCGCGAACGCACATTAGCATCGATCGCGACTCTTTCATCTCGTCCACTTCGAAATATGCTGTACCTCTCGAGACCGCTTTTAAATATCTGTAACAAGAGCACCCCCCGCCTCTGATAAAATGGGCGCGTATCGCGCGACATTCGTTTCACTTATCGACAGCCTGTCCTCCAGCTTAAATTGTCGCCTCGCTGATATGCGGATCTGTGGCCAACTTACCTTGCCGATTGTTCCATCGTAAACTTCTCCTCGCGAGGATGACATCGCGTCGGATTCACATTCGCGTCGATTCTTGTGCGAAGATGGGGTCGACGACGAGTCGTTCCGCGTCGTTCACGATGCGAATCGTAATTCTTGCTGTAAATATCATCTCGAAAATCCTTCCGATTTGATATTTGCAAACAATCTACTTGCCGGTCGCGCGTCTTTAGGAGCGTGCTCTGCTCTCTCTCCGATCTATCCCCTCGATCGGAGGACGTGGAGGACGTGGAAGAGCCGTCACGTTCCGCATTCTTTCTCCCGATACGAATTCGTCGATACGCTCGAACAGGCGAGGGGATGGACCGATTCTCTCCCGGAAGCATTTCGGCTACTCGATCGATGACAGACGGTTTCCTCGTTCCTCGCCATTGCGCGTCACTGTCGCGATCAGTCTTGTCAACGGAAGAGGGCTGATTAATAGATGAAGCGGATACAAGTCTACTAGTCTAGGCCGAAGTAACGAAGTGAGTCACTTGTCTGCGCGCGCGCGCACCATTTTCCTTCGGAACCAAGGAATTTTCGCGAGTGCAGCAACGATTCCTCTTGCGCGGAACGATGATCCCTCTCCTTGGACAGCAGCGCCGTCTTTTAAGAGCAATTCCTTCGAGCTGTCGTCCCTCACCCCGATATGCTCAACCGCTTCTTCTTCCTCATCCACCTCCTCGGTCGGCCAAGACTCGGTATCCGCTATCGAAGTGGACCAACTATCGAGGCGCTCCTTGCGCGGACAAGAGCAGGATTTCCTCTCCAACTTGCTACTACGTAGCCTTCTACGAGCTGTCACCACGAAACGGGACGTCGAATCGTCGCTGCTGGAGGTAATCACCTTCGCCAGTGAATCGTTGAAGATCTAAATGGAAGCGTTTCTCCGCGGTTCACTCCTGATGGTCGACTATCGAGATTGGTTGCTGTCGAGGTCATTCGCTTCGCCTCTTCCTTCCTTGGTGCTCAATCTTTTTCTCATTTTTTTGCCTTTTGTTTTTCCTTTCGTTTAACATCGATCGACATACAGAAAGAGAGAGAGAGAGAGAGGGAGAGAGAGAGAGAGAGAGGAGAGAGAGAGAGGGGGGAGAGAGGGGGAGAGAGAGAGAGAGGGAGAGGGAGAGGGAGAGAGAGAGGGGGGAGAGAGAGAGAGAGAGAGAGAGAGAGAGAGAGAGAGAGAGAGAGAGAGAGAGAGAGAGAGAGAGAGAGAGAGAGAGAGAGAGAGAGTGAGCGCGCAGAGTAGACGCAGAGAGGCAAGAATACAATATATCTCTCACCTGTATCGTAACATCTTCTCGTACTTTTTGCGCCTCGATGTCTTTGAATGGCAGTTTGCAGTGACACTCGACTTGAACCTTTCGCAGTGATTCGTCTTGATAAGCTTGGCACACAGGTATCAATGATTTTACTTACGTCGCCGAGCCTCGCAATTTGTCAGATAGATAAGTGACATTATTGGAATTGAAATTGGATCAATCTCGCACAAATTCTGTCGAATCTATATCTAGACTTGAGAGCATCGCGTATGTGCGTCATTGCGACGTACGTAGACGTACTATAGCTATAGACTGAATCTAAACTACTGTCATCGTCCCTCCTTTCCACGATTGTACCTTCCTTCTCCTTTTCTTCAGATGTCCTCCTTTCCTCCTTGACCTTGATTTTCTCTTCTTCTTCTTCTTCTTCTTCTTCTTCTTCTTCTTCTTCTTCTTCTTCTTCTTCTTTTTTCTCTTCAGGTAGTTGTTCAGCCGCAGCTGATTCATCTTGTTCGACTCTTGGCTTCGGTTCTCTTTTCGTAATCAACGGATAATCCGATGAATCTCTATTATTCGTAAAGCACGTGGTAAAGTAAGTGATAGTAAGTATGGATACATCGCGATAGACTTTCGAACAAACACTGTGTCAAAGTAACGCCGGATGAATTTACCTTTCTTCACTTATATCCGACAAATCGCCGTATTCGATGGGCGATCGACAAATCGTACAGAGATTCTGCAAGTCTACGAAGCATCGCGTGCAAAAGAGACCGATGCAGCCGGGAGTAGGACATTTAATGTGCGGCTCCTGATCGAAGCGCTCCACAGCACCACACAGGAGACACGTGTTCTGCTTTTCAGGGTACAACTTGTTTAGAAACGGGCAAATCGCCAAGCACCGCTCTCGGAATGTGATCCTCTCGATTCTCCGATCTTGGTCCATGCTGAACTTGCGACGCAATTGGCGCCGCGCAAACTTGAGGAAACTTCCTCTCGATCTGTTCACGTGTTTCAGTCGCTTAGGACTAGAGTTGCGTAGGATTTGTACGCACTAGGAAATGCACCTTACCTTAAAAGGGAACGGGGAAATAAAATGATTTGACCATTTGACTGTCGTGTGTGTGTGTGTGTGTGTGTGTGTGTACCAATCGCTTCTTCGTTGATGCCGATCCTGATGTGAATGGTGCCTTACCTGATGATGTGATTGTACAGCCAAGCGGCTCTTTGTTTGGCTCTGTCCGGATGATATTTGCACATAACGACGTGCCGCAGTCTCAATCCGTAAGGTTCAAATATCGCCATGATCCAACAGAAGGCGATCAGTGTCACGATACGCGTATACCTGTCTAAATCGGGAGGTATAGGATCTGGAAGGCAGGGCGTCACGTCGATCTCTGTATCCTTGATACGCGGCGTAAAGGCTCTTGCGAGACTCGTGTAGAGGTCGGCGAGATAGCCGTTGCCAGACACATAGACGCCCACGGAATTGGGTCGTTGGACCTACAGATCGATACGAATGTTCCGCCGATATTTCCTTTTATCCTGATTATCGTGATTGTTCTACGTCAAGATATACCCAATCCAATCATTCCCGCACGCGACCGTCGCGACTTGTCGCGTTTGCCGATCTCGCCAACAAAATATATTATACATATATCTCGCCCTCTAAACTCCCTTTAACCTCTCTCCTCACTTTTCCCATCCTCCAGCATTGTTAATATTAACATTAATCGCCTGTGTTTGGAAATTCTTTTCCTCACGTCACACCTATCTCGTGGGAATATCTCATGACATCTGGCACCTTTGTTTCGATCCGTCCGTGATGCCTGATGGCGCTGAGGATCCAATAAAGACTATAGTCCGCCAACATGTAGATGCAAATTTTCAATGTCGCCAGAGCCAAAAAGACGGCAGATTTCACGAGCTTCGCTCTTTCCGCCTTGATCAGTGTGACGGACGTGAGTGAAATGTATTGATTTCTCTCGCGAGGGTTCAACGGCAGAACGGTTTCCTTGTCCTGACGCGTCCTTATTAGATCGATGGTGCGCAAGTCATCGGTCAGATATCGATTGTCGAATCGTTCGTTCGTCAGCCATTTGTATCGGTAGCGCATAACTCTGAAAAATATGAGAAATGTTTCAGTCCCGTCCGACCACCACCGGGGTGATCGACCCCGGTGGGTGGATCATTATACACTGCCGTTTGAGGCTTTGTACCTGAGTAGCATGAATAAAATAAAGAACGTCGTCAAGAAGCTCATCCAGTCGAAAACGGCTAAAAACTTGTCGGTTCTGAGTCGAACCTCGTTGATTATATCGGTCGACACGTCCTCGATGGTTTTACTCTGATTGGTCTCCAAGTGAAAAGTGTGCGAAAATTTCACCTTCACATAGAACATCGCCTTTACGTGGCGAGTGAACCTTTTAACTTCTACACACAAGAATGTGAGGATAAATGCGTGGCGCGCGCGCGCGCGTGTGTATTTGTGTGAATGTGTGGATACAATTTGTCAAATGTACGTGTGTGTGTGTGTGTGTGTGTGTGACACTTCATAAGCTCAATGCCTGTGAAATCTTTAAGCGCACGATAGTGCTAGTCGCAACGTACTTTTGCGCACAGCGTCGACTATGGTGTCGGCTACGTAAGATACCAACATGCAGATCAAGTCCAGAGGCTTCACTATGTAACACAGAGCACCAACGATATACGCTAAATTGCAAATCCCTCCGAAAAAGGGGCCGAGTTTCGCTGTGCAGTCGGCCACTGCACCTTCGAAGACTGTCTGACACCTGTCGAACGGCGTGCCTAGCTTCTTGTTGCAAATATTCACGATGCCGCCGAGCCATTGGAAAACTGACGTGATCACTCTCACTGAGGAACGCAGATTCAACGCAGAGTCGATCGTGTTATACAGAGCGCTATTGTTCTTTTCACTCACATACACTGAGCACGAGCCGTTTGATAGCCACGAGAGTCCGCTTGATCTTCCTCACGACTACCTTCACCGTCTTTATCACATTCGATATCGCGTCCCTCAAAGCGTAGAATGGCTGTTTTATCAGGTCGACCACGCTCTTTACAGCTTGCTTCAATTGTCCCTACATTGTGACGGCAGGAATGGAATTAATTGCCGAATGCCAAACGACATTTCGTACTAGCAAACTCTTGTGCAACGATGTGAAGAGATAATCTTGACAACCGATAACTCGATAACCAACCGTTTAATTGAAAATTGAAAACGCAACGCGACAATACGTTCAAAGTTCGAGCGTGGCAATGCCAATGTCCCAGCGAGGGTCAACTCACCTGTCCGCAGACTAAAGATTCTGAAAGAACACTGGTATTGTGTAGGGTATTCTTTCCCGGCCCGGTGAGCGTCAAAATAAAGGCATAAGCCATCAAGGCTTGCCTGCCGCGTTTAGAAAAGAACTGCGGCAGTAGTAGAAAGACGACGCATCTGCCGGACGAGTAACAAGGCCGAGTCCAAATTATATCCAAATTATATCCATGCAGATATGGCAGATATGCAGAGAGAGAGAGAGAGAGAGAGAGAGAGAGAGAGAGAGAGAGAGAGATATATATATATATATATAGGCGTATATTATAATATGAATATATAATTTATCATTCTTTCATAGAGCGGCATTCAAGTTTTCAACGTACAACGCCTTGCTCAGCGTCGTATGTTGACGTCGCTGAAGACGTCAAGCGAGATATTACCTTACGCGATAAGAAAATGCCAGTCCAAGCGTAAAAATCACTCCGAGGACCGAGCATAACATCGTAGCGGACGTGAGGGTAAAATTTAGTTGAAATACAAGAAATATGAAGAATATATATGTGAGAAAGATACCGCCGAGAAAGCCAAACGCGCTCTTTAGTATGTAATTCTCAAGCGAACCGTCGGTGCGAATGAGTCTCGTCTTCTTGTACGTCCAAGTATATTTTACGGAGGAAATTATTCCGCTCCAAAGATATTTAACCTTCTTTTTGCATCTGTGAGAATAAGATTGCATGAATAAATGGAGGAAAAGAGTATAGTACTGTTGTAATACCAATGATGGAGTGTTCCGAGTTCACACACACACACACACACACACACACACACACACACACACACACACACACACACACACGGTGTGAAATTGGAGAAGCTTGGTGAAAAAGCGATAGTTTTCAGTCTTCTCTCAGCGAAAAAGAGAGAGAGAGAGAGAGAGAGAGAGAGAGAGAGAGAGAGAGAGAGAGAGAGGAGAAAAAAGAAGGAGATACGACGTAATCTCGATATAAAAATTTTCAAAAGTAGAAATTTTTATGTCGATTAGGCGATAATTGCGAAAGTTTTACGATAGGCTCTCTCTCTCTCTCTCTCTCTCTCTCTCTCTCTCTCTCTCTCACTTTAATCTCTTGCGTCGAAGACGTTGCTTCAAAGTGACAGGCGGCTTGCCACCTCTGGAGATTTCGATCGATCTCAATTTCTCGTCTTCGTATATCAGCCTAGTTTTTTCGAGTTTCCTAGCTTTCAGGGCTGATTGAAAAAACGCCATATTCTTAAATATCGGGTCGCTTATGAATCACATCGATCGAATTAGCTTGTATTCACACCAAGCGAGAGATTACTCTCAATGTAACTTTCGACAAAATTGACATTAGCTTCGGCGGATTGCTTCCCCACCCACTGTTTGACAACGTTCAGATCTTGCATTGTTTTGCTTTGCATCTTGTCTTTTATCTCGCGGCAAGGTTAACACACCAACGACCAGAGGCGAGAACAAACGGAAGAGACGTCTCTGCGCAAAAAAACGTTCGACGCATAAAAGAAGAGTCATTTAGGAGACTTTTAGGAGCTGAGGAACAGCGACGACAGGTGCGCAGCAAGCTAGTCGGAGCTACAGGTATGTCCGACCGAGCGAGCATCGGGTCGGTCAGTGCAGCGAAATTTCTCAGCTACTATTACCAGCGAACGATCACTCGCGGGCAGCCGCGTCGGCACCGTTCAACGGAATGATCGACGATCAGACTCGTGTAGACAGTAGATTGCGTGCGAATGCGAATGATGCAAGTGGACGACGCAAGTCTCTCTATTGTCTCTTCCGTCCTTCTTCCGAGGAGGCAAGAAGGTTCGCAGTCGCGTGAACTAGAGGTGAAAGTATGTTAAAAATGTGTGTTCCTATCTAATATATGTTGATTTTCTTTTTCAGTCAGTCGTAAGCTGATACGCGAAGTGGCAAGTGGCACGAAGCCTACCATGGATAGGATAGGTACCTCTCGGTGGCGTTCGCGCACCGTTCGCGCTCGGGTTGACTGGAACGTTCCAGCGGATCCCGTGGCGACGTCAAACGTCGCCAGTATCGGTCTTCGATCCCTCGCGGAAAGAGGACCGTGTGATACTGCCGGCACGTGTTAGAACGAGACATCGACATGTGTCAGCCGCACCGCGCGCGCGCGCGCGCGCGCTCCACGACGAAGGTGGGCGTCGAGGTCGAGACATCGGAGAGAGGGGTAGGACCGTATCTGAACCCGATAACGAGCCAGCTGGCGGCAGTGCCGTCGTTTACGTGGAGGCACGACCTTCGCTGAAAGATCGTTGCTGGCTAAGACGGTCCCGTGCCGAATCCCGTAGCTGTAGCCTGAAAGGTGGTCGGAGAGCAAGAAGCCGCCGCCGCCGTCGCCGCCGTCGCGGTAGGACCGAGGAGACACTCTGGAGGAGACTCCGGAGTAGGAAAGAGGGAAAAGGGAAGAGAGGAAAAGAAAGGAAGATAAACATGTCGTGAACCCCCGTGAAGTGACGAGTCCGTGATGTGTACGAGTCGGCCGAGTCGACGGTGCTCATAGCGCGTGCGGCTTTCGATCGGGCGACCAATGCCGTAAACGCTTAGGCGTTCAGCGTCATCGTCGTCTTCGTCGTGGTCGCGCGCCGCGCGCCGTGGCTGAGCGTGTATATATATATATATATATATATATATATACACACACACATATATATATATATATGTGTGTGTGTGTGTGTGTGTGTGTGTGTGACGTGTGATACACGCGTGTAATCGTGTAGTGGCTCTGGCCGCTCGCTCCTGACCTGTTCTACCCGATTCAGGTGCCAAAAGCCTGGACCGATCGCTACGATGACTACGAGGGAGCTTTACGTTAAGGTATCGCGCATTCGCGAATTTTCAATCTGGGGATAATAGCCGTGTCCCCGTATCCCCGAAGAAGATGGCAGGTCGCGAAAACGCGTACGCGAGGATTTTAAAAGCTCGCGGATAATCACGACGCGCATTGTGCGCGTCTCGCGAAGGGAGGGATATGTTCGTTCGGCTGGCTCAATTCGACAGACGAAACGTACGAAATCGTAGATTCCGCCCCCGCGCGCGCGCGATCGAGTCACTGTACTGTACTCACGTGTACTCGTGATTTCAGTCGTTGGTTTGGATGCTGCCCTCCCACGCCGCCCTTCCACCCCTTGTCATCGAGTACGAATGATCGGGTACGATGAGAAAACTCGCGGAGTTGAGAGTGTGTCTCGATTGTACAATCGATGAAAATTGCAAGATTGCAACGATAATCAGTCGGTGTGCTTGTAGTTGTGCCGTGCGAAACTGTAATTCGACTCCGTTCTCGCGCAGTCGTCGAGCGTCAAGCGTGCACACCTTTGACATTTCGCAAGTGAACGTATCTCTTTCTCGGAGTGTCACCAGGTACATACAGGTACAACTCGCGGTCCGAAGAGTTGTTTCGACCTGTTTGATTACTCCGACGATTACTCCTTTGCGGAAATATGGAAAAGGGAATTTTCAGCCTTTTAAACGGTGCAAGTTCGGTTCGATCAGTGCTTGGTGTTACGCAACAACAAATTCGCAAACGCAAATATTAAATATAATCGCTAGTTTCTCTTATTTTAGCCATATCGTGTGTATGTGTGTGTGTGTGTGTGTGTGTGTGTGTGTGTGCGCGTGCGTGCGTGCGTGCGTGCGTGCGTGCGTGCGTGCGTGCGTGCGTGCATGCGTGTGTGTGTGTGTGTGTGTGTGTGTGTGTGTGTGTGTGTGTGTGTGTGTGTGTGTGTGTGTGTGTGTGTGTGTGTGGTGTGTGTCTGTCTGTCTGTCTGTCTGTCTGTCTGTCTGTCTGTCTGTCTGTCTGTCTGTCTGTCTGTCTGTCTGTCTGTCTGTCTGTCTGTCTGTCTGTCTGTCTGTCTGTCTGTCTCTCCTACACACGTCTCACGCGAGCGTATATACACACATCGAAATTAATCGATAAAGGTCGACTGTTTGTGCCTAACATGCTCAATTTTTATAACATTCTGAAGTTGGACCGTGGAGCGCGCAAAGTTAATTTCTTTTCATCTTTCTTCTATTGTGAATAACGAGAACGAGATATATTTCTACTTTGTATACATTTTCATTAATGTAGATCATTCTTCTCATTTGTGTATAAAGAGACCTAGATTCTCTCCTCCCCGCTCACCTCGATGAATCTCGTGCATCTTGCTTCGGAGCACCCGTCGGTCCCGACCCGTACCCACGAGGACATTTCATTTGGGAATCGTATCATCCTGTCGCGAGTTGTTTCACAATTTATCCCGGCGATAAGTTTCACGCACAGGCATCGCGATTCGCGCGCGCGCGCAAACACATTCTTAAATATCTCGCTCATGTAGCTCTCGTAACACCCGGCTCTCTACACACACACACACACTATCGTGCGAGAATTGACAACATTGAGTCGATATATGGTTACTTAAAGCATTTCAAGTCAAGTCGAACGAGCTCATGTACACACATATTTCACAATTCATACGGTTAACGTATTTCTCCGCGAAAACCTTTCGCGAGAAACTCTGCCGATCTTTCCTGGAAGGTTCCAATTTGCGTCCCAACGGGTCGAAACATATGCTAGAACATCACTCGAAGCATACAACTGGAAGCATACAAGAGAAGAAAGAGAAATTTATCGTCGTCATTTTCAAGCTCGTTCACGTGAAAATGACCGGCAAGGCACATATTCTTATTACATAGGATTTGCCTTCGATTATTAAACATTTAAATCTAATTACGTGCTATATACTTTGATTCGCACGTTTGTCCCCAGTCAAGTAGATTATCCACATGTACGTCAACGACTTTGACGCGAAAAGCGACGGAGTGATATTGTCAGGGTGTTTTAGAAAATCCCTTTTCGAATCTAAAATCAATAACTGCTGGGGAGGAAGCTGCCTCCCCATTATCGGAGACCTAAATTCCCGTTTATATCAGGTGACCGATTGACCGGCCGTAGAAACAGCAGATTGTTTCGTGATGACTGTTGTCTCCGACTGCAATTGGTCGGGCACCTTTCGACAAATGTCACCCTAACCCAAGAGGTGAACACGAAATGAATGATCGAACAGACCGAAGAAATCATTAATCCAAAGCCCCATGAAATAAAATAATTTAACACTATTTGGTCCACGTGGAACGAGCGGGAGAAAGCGGGAGAGAGAGGAGAGAGAGAGAGAGAGAGAGAGAGAGAGAGAGAGAGAGAGAGAGAGGTGATGGCTATCTTTTCGCAGCAACTGAGACGTCGATGTCAATGATCGCTCGCTCTCCTCGCCCTCCCTCCTATGTATCGCGTTTTGCGCGATCATAATGGGGCGCTCAAGTCCTCTTCCTAGTCCTCTCAGAATGTCATGAATATGATAAGATCGGTGATTTTTTACCAATCCGAACAAGCCAAGAAAACAAAACATTAAATCCTGTGCCAATCAACGCGGCGAAAAGGTTTGTTTAGTAATCGGTAATCGGAAGGTAATCGGATAGTAGCGCGGTAATGAGGATCGAAGGATTAGATGGGAAAGCGGTGAGAGCGCGATGAGGTCTGTCTTTGCGCGGTTTACGCTATTCCCTTTAAGCTTAAACTCGTGACGCTTCCTCGCGCGTTGGTGGTTGATTTATCGGTGTGACCGCGGATGAGGGTTGCCCGAGGTCCCGTCATGGTTTCTGTTATAACAGGTTTTCGCTTCTCTTCGCGCCCGAGGCTTCGGCAAAGAAAAAGATCCAATGGCGCATCCACGCGAGCACCACTGTGCACCTCGCGGTGCACGTATGCACCGATGATGATGATGATGATGATGATCGCGGTGATTTCAACGAATCTACGTCTATGCGACTCTCTGGTTCCTTCAAATCCTGCATTGTCGAGAATATCGACACGCTCTCGACGAGCAAAGAATGTAGATTCTGAAATCTGAAATGCAGGAGACCTTTGTCTATTTCGAAAGAAAGAATGATGCGAAACATTCGCTTCTGGCCAACTGGCCAAACAACTGGTAAAAAGGGGGCCAGGAAGATATGTAAAGAAGTTTGATGTCGCAAAAATTTGCATTGCAAGCACTTTGCGGAAAAGGCTGAATTTATGTATGTACGTGTGTGTATACGAGAAATCGAGTCAAGTAAAAAAGTAATGATAGCAAGTAAAAGTTAAGGCACGCGCGCACCACAATGCTTCTCGACAAAATTCCTTATGAATCTCCTTTGAGCGACGTCGTTGACGTGATCATCTCTATCTATAATACCTTGGACGTAATGTCATGCGGCCACAAAGCCGATCTTCTGCTGACTCGGCTGACGATGGAGGGCAGCAAAGAGTGAGGGCAGCGCGAGATATTCGACTTCCCTTGTACCGAGACGTACATTGCTTTTCTGTAGCGAGAGAAAGGGATCCGCTTGTGAACGTGACCGTAAGCGTAGTTTGCTGGCTGCGCCGCGTTCGTTTCTTGAGCTGATCATTCGAAGCGAGCCTAGCTGCCTGTTTCAAAGCGCGCAATATATTCTTCGTTTTTCTTCTCACGAAACAACCTACCTACATGAGAAAGCGACCCCCAGCAAAGTGATTCTTCACATCTGTGAGCACTATCGTTGCTCGCTCGATCGGTGCTCGGACGTTTATAATTCTCTTTATCGCGACCAAACCGACAAACCGACCTTTCTTTCGATTTACCGATTACCGCGCAATGAGTTGAAACAAATCAGTGCCTAGGAATCGCCAAAGCAGACCTTTTTAATTTATATCGATCGCATCCGTGCCGCTGGTATACCTATTCCATCAATGAGATTAGCGCGTTTCGCTCGACTCGTCGTCTTCCAGACAAGAAGGATTTTTTGTCGATCGGGCGCGTCTCGTAAGAGAAATATTTGTTCTTGTCGCGAAGAAATGCATTTCCTGTATTAAATAAGGCATTACGTCGCTCCTTTCGCGATCTCTCTCTCTCTCTCTCTCTCTCTCTCTCTCTCTCTCTCTCTCTCTCTCTCTCTCTCTGTGTGTGTGTGTATATGTATATACGTATACATGCGCGCGCGCACTTTCTCTTCAACTCCAACTCAAACTCTTTTTATCCATGAGAGACAAAAGCTCCTCGCGGCGATATCCCACGAAAGCATTCCGCTTTACGAACAACCTGCGAATAATGCGCTCGCGCTCCGCGTCGGAAAGTTGCGTTCTCACGATCGCGGCCTTTTCTTCTTTACGGAAAGTCAACTCGGGGCTAGATTTACCTAAATATGTTTACACTTTAAATCGTAAAACGATCTTTACGAAACATAGACACATATAAGGAGAGGCTAAATTACTTAAACTTTGCACCGAAGAAATCCACGATAGAGACGTGAATCACGCATTCCGGAATGGCTTCGTAGTGATAAGATTGCGACGCGCCCCACCATATTTGACTTGTACCTAGGTACCTAGGTTTAAATCGCATGAAATTGTTCACGTGACTTGAACTCGAATCGCGAAACATGAACAGACCGCTGTTGCCGCGCGCGCGCCCTACGGATAAACATCTCGACACACTCATATCCGATAATATCCGACGCGACCACTGACGGCAAACGGTTAACAATGGTATCGAAGTCACACGTCGAAGGTAAAGTAATTTGTTGAATAAACGCATAAACTCATGTAACGTTTACGCTACATTATTGTACACTTTGCAGTAAAAAGTCATGTGAACTATGTGAAAGAGAAAGAAGAAAATTTCTTACCACAATATATCTTAACCCTCCATTGCCTTCGTATGAGGCAAACGCTCAGTTTACATTTCTTTTTTTTTTAATTACTTAGATGTGACATAAAAGTTGACTCTGAAACTTTCTGACTTTTTACTTATAACCATTTAGATTATATCTGTATAGTTATTTTCTGAATTATGTAAATACAATTTTTTCAATACGAGGAAGCTAAAATTCGTTTTTTTAAACGAGGGCAATGGAGGGTTAAGAGACACACGATACGTAACGATACGGACATGTTGTAACGTTTCACTTTGCGACCAAAAAGGGATCCCACGATCTGACATGCAATATTATCAACGTTCCTCGTGCTCGCTGGGCAACATTGCAACACGGCTCACGGCCGTACAGCACAAAAGTTGAATCTCTTGTCTCTTTCTTGCTATATTTTCGTGCCTCCTTGCTTCAGCTTTGCGTCGCACGCGTCTCGTCTCTTTTCCTTTCTCCCTCCCTCCCCCCCGTCTGTCTCTTGGTGTGCAAAACGTAGGGAGAAGTGTTGAGGCGTTCGTAATAGTGCGACAGAAGAAGCTCGCGTGTATGAAATGCAACGGAAGCCTTAGTTTGGTGGTGAAGCTCGGATACAGCACACGAGGGAACGAACGTTGCATCGCAACGTGTCGCGTCAGAAGCGTTCGAGCTACCCTGTGTGTATGTTTGCGCGTAAGCAGCTTGCACAAAGTATTTCGCGCAGAAAGTATATATATATCATACGTCGTCAATCTTCGCGCAATTGGCACATTATCGATCGACGAGAGAATGCGAGAGTTGCTGTTACAATGTCAAACGGTACATTCTAAAAGGAAAAGCTATCTGTATCCTGTCCTGTGAGATGTATACACGCATACGTTATTTGCTAAATTTTTCTTTTACTTTTCAATCGATGCGCCATGTTGCAACGTTACTGTGTGCACTACGTGCAACGTACGTGAAACGTGAATTCGCGGGAAAGCGGTAACACAAGTCGCCTGTAGGCTCGCTTCGCTTCGCTCGTGGATATTGGATTACGAATGACGTAATTGCGCGCAATATACGCGCAATCCGCATCTTTCCGAGAGACGCGCGAGAGCGGATTATCCTTATGCTCGGAACATCTCTTCGAGAGCACAAAAAGGACCAGGTGGTGTGGGAACCCGGCAGAGCTCGAGCGCTTTTTTTTTTTCGTGATCCTTTCCGTGAGCTCGTGATGATAATTGCTGCAACTGCTCTACTCTGTAGTGCGGTAGCTGCTCACGTATATAACATGGATATGTAACGCAATAGAAAGCATGGGAACACGTTCCTAGGTGGGTGATATGTCGAAAGACGAAACAAGAGGAGAGACGAGATGGAGAGCGGCCGCGTATCGATCCTCGCGACCTATGCGAAAGAAAGAATCGGCGAAAATATTCAGCCACGAAAAATCGCCACAGAAAGCATCTCCAAGACACGCACAGATACGAAACGACTGGGATGTATAGGGTGCTCGTTTAGAGAATGCGCGCGAGAATGCCCGCCTGCGTGTCCCGTCGTCGCCGAATGAAACCGACGATATATTAATTTGTTACATCGTTTCATGTATATATCGTTTCATCTATATCGGCTTAAATGATGAACGTATAAATTTTGCCGCAAGTAATTCCTCATCTTTAGTCTCATCTTGATTCTTCGCTGTAAAATGCTGCTGGGAATGCTCGCACTTGAAACTTGAACTTGAAGTGTCAGTTTGCGACGAGAAGAGAGACTAAGATGACTAAGTTGACAAGTTGACAATTTTGCAGCGGGGAACGATTTTGTAGCGCGATATGTGCACGATGTGAATATGCCGCGAGATTTATCAACGTATCATCAGTCGCACGCGCAATGTGCGACGTTTCAAGCAGGAAACGCTTGCTGTAAATATCAACAAAAATATACGCGCGAAATATATATTCGAGCAGCCTGCATCCTCGGCATGTTGCACGGTGCATGCAAGAAACGAATCGATAACGAGACAGACAAAACGAAACGCCAAAAACAAAGAGATAGGAAGTTGAATTTTATCGCGCGCTTTGTACGCGCTTCTTGGCGACTTGGCAACTTGGCGTAATGCCAAGTAGTTTTGCCACTCGGCCACGTTTACGTGTTTACTCTCTTCCAGCTGGTAAGGCCGGTAAAGCGGCCTTACCAGCGTTGCGTAATTAACGCAACGAGTGACACGCGTGCAGCTCTCTGCGGGCTGCACTCTCTCTGTGGGAGTGAAGTTCAGGGTCGGCGTATTTCGCCGCGCTTTCTAAAGTCGCCGCGTGGCAACTCGCGACGACTCGCGAAACTATCTCGCGATCGTGCGCGATTAACTACAGTACAGTACAGTACGGTAATTCGTAATGGGGAATAATGGGGAGTTGTCTCTGTTGTCGTCGGTCGTCGACGTACAAGTATAAGTATAAAGACAGTATCTCCACCGATTGTGCCTCATCTGCAGATTGAGCAATCTGCGACACGCACGTGATTACACCACACACGCCGTGATCCTAGTCCGCGAATTACCATACCATACCATACCATATCATACCATACCATACCATACCATATCATACCATACCATACCATACCATACCATACCATACCATACCATACCATACCATACCATACCATACCATACCATACCATACCATACGTTTGCCGCGTCGATTCACATACAATTCACATACAACCGCGCCGTGTCGGAGCCAGGAGTCGGACTACGAGACTACGAGACTACGAGACTACGAGACTACGAGACTACGAGAAAGGAGATTCTGATTTGGACCCGCACCGGTACGCGCACCGTGACATATTATATCGCGAGCGAAAGAAAAGTCACGACCTGAGGACAAAAAGCCCTTACCGTTTACCGTTACTCGATGTCAGATGTTAGATTATAAGGTAATACGATCGGACTAAATTCCGCTTCCGAAGTAGTAACGCTCGTTTCTTGGACGATCCTCCGCTTAGCTAGCGATTGATGGGCGATCGAGAGGCCAAGACTCTCTCAGAGAGTCAGACGGAAAAAAAACTCTGTTATTCCTCGTAAAGATAAAGGTGGAGAAAGTCCTTATCAAGTAAAGTATCTTTCGATCGATTAAACTTAGCGCTCGTATACACTGCTCGTTGTTAGTCACGTGCGCGTTGCGCGCTCAGCGCAATCGTCATCGAAAGATTGTACGTATGTACGTAATGAAGAAGTAGCGGTCGCGAACGGTGCATCAACCGTTCGTATAAATGATGCACCATGCACGAGGGAATCGTACGTGGGAAATTATTGTATTGTACGCGGCGAATTGGAGCATTCTGGTTGCGGCGCGTACCGAATATATCGCGATATATTTTTATCGTCAACCTCGCGTCGTTTTTCTACGCCACTCCGGTCCGGGGAGGAGAAAAGGGCTCGCGTGCGCGCGCGCGCGCGCCATGCGATTGAAAAGCATGTCGGCACCAAATGTGTGATACACGACAGAGTTCGCAAATAGTGCAAAGTAAAAGGAGACAAAGGAGATGGATCCGCGTGATAATCTTGCGCGTGTGTACGCGCGCTGGCGCAATGTCTGTCCTGTCTGTCCGCCTAATAATAGCCGCCGCCTAATCTGACCTGAGTCTCGGCGTTAATGCGAAAAATGTATTAATCTCTCCCGGTAGGGTGGCAGAGTATGGGTGCCGCATCCGGAAAGGGTATGGGAAGGCGCCGTGCTGCTGGAGAACTACAACAAGCAGGCGCAGCCGATTCTGAAGGTACTGACGGATGAGTCGAATGAAACGAGAACGCTGGAGATCCGATCGGACGCTGATCTGCCGCCGCTCCGAAATCCCGATATCCTGATAGGCGAGAACAATCTCACGTCATTGTCGTTTCTTCACGAACCCGCTGTCCTCTACAATCTCCAGGTTCGCTTTCAACGGCACTCCATTTACACCTACTGCGGCATCGTACTGGTGGCCTTTAACCCGTACAACGAATTACCCATCTACGGCAATGACACGATATGGGCCTACAGGGGCCAGGCGATGGGCGACCTGGAACCCCACATATTCGCGGTGGCGGAGGAAGCCTATACGAAATTGGAGAGGTGATTAATTAATTAGTCTTTCTCTCTCTCTCTCTCTCTGTCTCTGTCTCTGTCTCTCTCTCTCTCTCTCTCTCTCTCTGTCTCTGTCTCTGTCTCTCTCTCGTGTGCGTCGTTAATTGATCGAAAAAAATTCTCTCTTCTCCAGAGAGAACCACGATCAGTCCATCATCGTTTCCGGCGAGTCCGGCGCTGGAAAGACCGTCTCGGCAAAGTATACCATGCGGTATTTCGCGACCGTCGGCGGTTCGGCAACGGAGACGCAGGTCGAGAAGAAGGTGCTGGCCTCGTCGCCCATCATGGAGGCGATCGGTAACGCAAAGACCACCAGAAACGACAATTCCTCCAGATTCGGCAAGTTCATCGAGATCCAGTTCAACAGGAACTATCACATCACCGGCGCCAGCATGAGGACCTATCTGCTGGAGAAGTCGCGGGTGGTGTTTCAAGCGAACGAGGAACGAAATTATCACATATTCTATCAGATGTGCTCGGCGGCGCGACGCCTACCTCATCTGCATCTGTCCGTTCAGGAGCGATTCCACTACCTCAATCAGGGCAACAACCCCAGGATCGAGGGCGTGGACGACCTCGCGCGCTTCGACGAAACGATCACGGCGCTGACGACGCTCGGTTTCACGTCCAGGCAGCAGGACGACATGCTGCGCATACTGGCCGCCGTACTGCACCTGGGCAACGTCGAGATAGGCAGCCGCGAGACCAAAGGAGACACGGAGGTGGACGAGGTGGACACCGAGTCGTGCTACATCTCGTCGTCGGACCGGCACCTGCTCACCATCACCGAGCTACTGGGCCTCGACGTGGGCGCGATGCGAAAGTGGCTGTGCCATCGCAAGATCGTCTCGACCAGGGAGGTCTTCCTCAAGCCGATGAACGCTCAGCAAGCGATCGGCGCGCGGGACGCCCTGGCCAAGCATATCTACGCCGAGCTCTTCAATTGGATCGTGGCCGGCATCAACGGGTCGCTGCAGTCGCTGCAGACGAGCCAGGCGCACTTTATCGGTGTGCTGGACATCTACGGCTTCGAGACGTTCGACGTCAACTCGTTCGAGCAGTTCTGCATCAATTATGCGAACGAGAAGCTGCAGCAGCAATTCAATCAGCACGTCTTCAAGCTGGAGCAGGAGGAGTACTTGAAGGAGGACATCGAGTGGACCTTCATCGACTTTTACGACAATCAGCCGTGCATCGACCTGATCGAGACCAAGCTCGGGATCCTGGACCTCCTCGACGAGGAGTGCCGGATGCCGAAGGGCTCGGACGCCTCCTGGGCGGAGAAGCTGTACGCAAAGTGCGGCAAGTCGAAGCACTTCGAGAGACCGCGCTTCGGCGCCACCGCCTTCCTCATCCACCACTTCGCCGATCTCGTGCGCTACGAGAGCGTCGGCTTCCTCGAGAAGAATCGCGACACCGTGATCGAGGAGCAGGTGGACGTGCTCAGGGCCGGCGAGAACAAGCTGTTGAGGAAGCTGTTCAGCGACGACGGCCCGAAGCTGGTGGTGCCAACGCCGCTGGGCCACCAGCGTGTGAAGGTGTCGACGGCGGCCCCGTCGAGGTGCGCGCCGACCACCGGCGAGCACGGCGGCAGGCAAAGCAAGCAAAACAGAAGGACAGTCGGCTCGCAGTTCCGCGACTCGCTCAACATGCTGATGGCCACGCTCAACGCCACGACGCCGCACTACGTGCGCTGCATCAAGCCGAACGACGCGAAGGAGGCCTTCGAGTACAGTCCGGTGCGAGCGGTGCAGCAGCTGCGAGCGTGCGGTGTGCTCGAGACCATCAGGATCTCCGCCGCGGGCTTCCCCAGCCAGAGAACGTACGGCGACTTCTTCCAGAGGTACCGCTGCCTCTGCCGATTCAAGGAGATACGGCGGGACGACCTGAGGGAGACCTGTCGTCGCATCCTCGCTAGGTACATCAAGGACGAGGACAAGTTCAAATTCGGCAAGACCAAGGTGCTCTTCAGAGCCGGACAAGTGGCGTACTTGGAGAAGCTGCGAGCGGAGAAGCAGAGGGACGCCTGCGTGACGATGCAGAAGACCGTGCGCGGTCTCATCTGTCGCAGGAGATACGGAAAGATCCGCAAGTCGGTCCTCGGCCTGCAGAGATACGGCAGGGGTTGCATAGCCCGACGGTGGGCCGAGGCAGTGAGGAGAGAGAGGGCCGCCGTCAGGATCCAGGCGCGCGTTAAGGGCTGGCTGCACAGGCGATGGTATCTGCGGGCCAAACAGACGATTCTCGCCATTCAGACGCGCGGCAGGGCCTGCATGGCTCGCGCACGCTACAGGATCATGAAGGACCACGCCGCCGCGACGGTGATCCAGAGGTTCGCCCGCGGATACCTCGTGAGAATGGAGTGCAGGAAGCGGCTCAGGGACATTGTCGTCGTGCAGTCGTTCGTCAGGAAGTACCAGGCGAAGAAGCTGTTCAGGCGGCTGAAAGCCGAGGCGAGGAGCGTCGAGCACGTCAAGTCGCTCAACAAGGGACTGGAGATGAAGATTATCACGTTGCAGCAAAAGATTGACGAATTGGTGAGTGTGTGCCGATCCCGAAAGGCGGGGCTAAAGGAGGGAGGGGGGCCGCTCTCCTCTTTCGCTCTCACTCTCGCTTCTTTCCAGGTGAAGGAGAATCATCTCTTGAAGAACGTCCAACACGAGATGGTGGACCTCAGGTGCAAGCTGGACCTCTTGAAATCCGTCGACGTCGAGAATAAGAAGCTGAACGGAATGGTGCAGGAGAAGGAGAGAGAGCTGAGCAAGACACGAGATGTCTTGCAGCGGGCGACAGACGAGAAGATGGATCTGCTGCAGGACAAGGAGAGGACCGTTCGACAGAAGGACGAGGAGAACAAGAAGCTGCGGGAGGACAATGAGAGGCTGCGCAAGGAGCTCTCGTTGGCGAGCGAGAAACTCAAGAGCAACCAGCGCGGCGCCGAGGAGAATCTCAAGTACCGGCTCGAGCAGGAGAAAGATCTGCTGCTGCTCGAGCAGGATCAGGATCGCGGGGCCTATCAGAGATTGCTCAAGGACTACCACGATTTGGAGCAGCACGCGGAGATGCTGGAGCAGAAGCTGGCGGTGCATGCGCCTGGGCACTCGCGCTCTTTGAGCAACGCTTCCAGCAGCAGCGGCCAGATCGTATCGCAGACGGAACTGCCGCAAGATGATCAGAACATTGTAAGTAGGCCGCGTGGGCGCGTAGGCGCGTATCGCGCCTAGGCGATTTTGGTCGCGCATTCACACACGATTTCACACACGAAATTTCGCGAAATCCGCAGGATTTCGGCTACGGTTCCGTAAGATCCACGGCTTCCTCGTCGACACCGTACTCCCGAGTGGAAACCATCGACTGGAATCAGCAACGATCGGACAGTCCGCCGGACGGAGAGGTCCAATCGAACAGATCACCGTCGACGATGGAAACGAATGACGGCGCCTTGCATGCGCCCGTCGACATCGGTCTCGTTCTCAAGCTGCAACAGAAACTGAAGGACGTGGAGAAGGAGAAGAGCAGACTGATCAGAATGGTCGAGGATCTGGAACGTGACGGTTGCGAGGAGTCCAGCAGAACGCAGGATTCGTTCAGGGTATAATTCAGGGTCGATCGAGGGGAATCGAGGCTGAATTAGTCGGATCGATCGGATTAATTAAACCGGGAACAATGCGTTTTGTTTGCAGCTTCAAGAACTGGAAATGGAGAATGCGCAGCTTAAGAAAAACTTGACCTCACTGCGGAAGACCGTGTCGTCGTCGGCCAGCCCGGCGTCCGCGCAACAAAATCTTATGAGTAATTTGTTACTGCATCTTATTACCTCGCTTCTATCGCATTATGTCTATTGAGCGCGCCCTGTCCGTCCCCCTTTGTCGATCGACTCGACATCTCCCTCGACAACTCACTCACTCGACCGCTTAAAATGCATGCGGATGTTGATAAACATTGATTGGACACAAACACTTGTCGATTCTGCGAACATTTTTACTCGACACACCTCCCCCACCCCACCCCACCCCGCCCCCGTAGTTTGCCACGCTTAACGCGCCTAATTACCACCTGGCAATTACTACCTGGCGGAGATGACACTGCCAGGGCTACAACTACTCGCGCTCTGTCATCCACCGTGTTTGAAAACTTGCAATTTACCGCACTCACACACCGTACTCACCACAACACGTTGAATACACGCTTGAATACTCCTCGCTTGCGCCTGACAATGAGTAGTAGGAGAATAGTATGTAGATGATGAGAGAGAGAGAGAGAGAGAGAGAGAGAGAGAGATCAGTAGGGTAATACTGATATAACGATATTATAGCGCAATTCGAAGCGCTGCAAGAAGAACTGGAAAGAAGAAGAGAGGAATGCATTCAACTGCATAGCGTGCTAGCCGACCATACGCGCAGGATGAAGAGCTTAGGTGCCAATTACGGACGCGACGTGGACATAATAAACGAGGACGGCGAGCTGGTGCTTGCTTTTGAGGCGCAAAAGAAGATCAACAGGTAACAGATGGAGGGAGATGATCGCTCGGCAAGACGAGAGTGACTATTACCAAAGTGTCGTATCTAACAGCATTCTCTTTTGTCGTTTGTGCATGCACTTCAATTTTCAGTAAACTTAAGACAAACCAAAAGGCATCGACAGGAGAGTGAGTTGAGCGCAGATTCACGTGCGCAGATTCGTTGTTGAACGTTGTTGAACTGTTCAATCGAATCGATAGAGAGAGAGAGAGAGAGAGAGAGAGAGAGAGAGAGAGAGGGAGGGAGGGAGGGAGGGAAATCGTGCGACCAATAATTTCACGTTTCGTTCGTTCGATCGTCACATCTCCGCGAAAGATCATATACTTTGATACTTGGATATACTCTGAATATTTTGATACGGCGTAAATATATATACACGATTTCGCGCTCGGTACAATTTTGCCGAATGATTAATTTGTGATTGAACAATTCAAGTTATCGGTCACACCAGTGATTACAAAGAGTGACGAGTCTTTTTCATCATTTGTTCTCAAGACAACTGGAGGATGAGCTGCAAGCTAAGGAAAAAGGTTGGAGATCGCAGAGGGACGAGTGGAGAAACGAGATAGACAGGTTACAAGAGGAGATAGAGAGGCAGCAGAAGCTGCTTTCCATTAATCTGAGCAAGTCGCCGCAAACTCAAACGGAACTTTACATGCAACACGAGGTTGCCAGGCTAACGTCCGAAAATCTGGTAAAACTGCCAAAGCGTATCCCTACGTATCGACAACGAATAATGAAATCGATATCCCGTTTCTTCTCTCTTCGTCTACAGAGAGAGTTTCGTTAGTGTTTAATATCTGATATGAAACGTACGTGTACATGTTGCAGGATCTTCAAGAGAAGTACGATAAAGTGGCGGAAGAATGTCGACGCTACAAGAAGCAATGCAGAATTCTAGCGAAACGGCTCAAGGATGCCGGCTGTAAGTACAGTAGTAGATAGATGTGGGCCTGATCGAAAAATTCAAGTGTCGCTGAAACGCGATAGCGATCGCGTCGCGAATGTTGTTGTTGTAGTTGTTGTTGTTGTCATGAAATATTATTTCAATCCGATGCTTTCCAAGGCGAGGGAGACGACGTGAAGGAACGTCCGTACGTGTTGAGAAGCACCGGTGAGTGGATGGTCTTGACACTAAAACGTCATCGACGTCATTGGTCTCATTGGACTATCCGAGAAACTTGCGCTCGCGTTATCTCGCGTTATCTCGCGAGCGCAAATTTCTCGCTTGTGGTGGTTGGTGGTTAGGACATCTTGTGGTCCAAGCGGCATGCGGCACAAGAGTCTAACGTTTTTCATTGAAAATGTCGAATGCATACTGCATGTCGAATACAAAGATATATGAATATTGCAGTGCCCAACGCGGTAGAATGCACGAGCGGTCCCAGCGCCGTTTCTGCTACTTACGGCGACAGTGCGAGTAACATGCCAGTCATTCGGAAGAAGGAGAGAGATTACGAGGGAATGTTCGAGTTCCGGAAGGAAGACATCAACGTGATAATACGTCATCTGGTGATCGGTAGATTCAGCGTTTCCGATTTTCTCCTCCTCCTCCTTGCTCGCGTCGTTCTCTCTTTATTCAGTCGCCGTTTATTCGTCCATTTCAGACTTGAAGCCTCGTATTGCGGTAACGTTGCTGCCGGGTCTACCGGCTTACATCCTTTTCATGTGCATCAGACATACGGACTGCGTCAACGACGACGACAAGGTCCGGTCATTGTTGACCGAGTACCTGAGCGCGGTAAAGCGCGTGCTGAAGAAACGCGACGACTTCGACACCAGGGTACTCTGGCTGAGCAATACCCTGCGGCTGTTGCACAACATGAAACAATATTCCGGCGACAAGCCGTTCCAGATCGAAAACACGCCCAGACAGAACGATCAATGCCTGAGGAATTTCGATCTTAGCGAGTATCGCGTAGTGCTGAGCAACGTGGCGCTCTGGGCCTTCAACAACATTGTGACAAGTCTCAAAGAGAGAATACAAGCTCTGACGGTACCGGCGTTGCTAGAACACGAAGCTATATCCGTTCCCCAGTCCGACAAAGCAGGCCGACCCAGGTCATCGTCGATGGGCGGTGAACCGGATTCTACGCAGCAGAAATTGGACAAGCTGCTCGACGAGTTGACGTCGGTGCACAAAACGCTGCAATATCACGGCGTGGACCCCGAGATTGTGGTGCAACTGTTCAAGCAACTCTTTTACTTTATGTGCGCGAGCGCTCTCAATAATCTACTGCTGAGGAACGAGCTCTGTCGATGGACAAAGGGCATGCAGATAAGGTACGGAGTATTAGTTAGGGATAATTGAAGAAAGAGAGAGAGAGAGAGAGAGAGAGAGGGGGGGATAGAGGGCAAGTTGGATTAGACGAGATTGGAAGAGAAACGCCTCGCCTCATCTATCTTGTTCATCTTGTTGCTTTGTTGTTTGCGAAACAAGAGACTCAAACTTTGAACTTTAGGTACAATATGAGTCATTTGGAGCAATGGGGCAGGGACCGACGATTGGAAGCGGCATCGGAAGCATTGCAGCCCATCATACAGGCGTCGCAGCTTCTACAGGCGCGCAAGACGAACGAGGACGTCAATTCTGTCTGCGAGATGTGCAACAAACTGACGGCCAACCAAATAGTTAAGATCTTGAATCTATACACGCCCGCGGACGATTACGAGAGCCGAGTTCCTGTCTCGTTTATCAAGAAAGTACAGGACAAACTGAAGGAGCGTGGCGAGAACAACGAGCAAGTGAGTGTCCTTCATAGGATCCTTTCGATTCAATCGAAAATTCAACTTTTCTTCTCGGGTACACAAGTGTCTCTGTGCACGAGACTGTGTTTTGTGTTTCTTTCATTTTCAGCTTTTGATGGATCTAAAATTCTCCTATCCTGTGAGATTCCCATTCAATCCATCGGACATTCGACTGGAGGATATCGAAATACCCGAGGTGCTTCATTTACCCATGCTCAAGAAGGTGTAGCAAAATTCCAATTCCACCGTACTGTCTTTATTAGCCGAAAACTTTACTTTGATTGCGTTATTCGTGGATATCCAAACACGCGCTTAGTCCTCTCATTCTTAAAGTAAAGAGAGAAAACGTGGAGGTATCGATCATCATTTGGCAAAGTTAGATTTAGTAAACGCATCGAGGGATATATATGACATTTTATACGTTTCTTTTTTACTCGGGTGATTTGTAGTTTACATACAAATATCTCCCAAGTATCACGCTCACGCGAGTCCAGTTGATTCGGTTGCATAGACAATTGAATGGTCGAGATGATTGAGAAAGAGCATATAACCCGTTAGTTTGTAACGTTGTACGTTGAAACGCGCGATAGAGACAGGAGAGAGAGAGGGGAGAGAGGGAGGGAGGGAGGGAGGGAGGGAGGGAGGGAGGGAGGGAGAGAGGGAGGGAGGGAGGGAGGGAGGGAGGGAGAGAGAGAGAGAGAGAGAGAGAGAGAGAGAGAGAGAGAGAGAGAGAGAGAGAGAGAGAGAGAGAGAGAGAGAGAGACGAGTACAAAGTTCCTACAAGGATTTCCGCAAAACATATCTTGTATGAATTAATACAGCAAAATATATTTCGAAAAGTGATCACTCCGCCATCGCCTCTTCATCATTTTAATCGTCGTCGAAACACTTTCAACAAATTTCTACATGTTCAGTTGCCGTCATCGTGAACCCTCATGGCATGTATACACATGTATACATGTACACATCTACTCTTCTCCGATCAAATAGAAATGTTTCAAATAAAACTGGTTTTGATATTTGACCAAAATTGAAAATCACTCGGCTCGGTTTGTACGTGTAGAAAGCAATTCTTAAACACGAAAAATGTAACAAGTAACATTTGAAGAAACTTTGACACTAGTCAAACTAAACTGCCGATCTATCTGTCCGTGTTACATGTCAACAATCGGTTGTCTATGTTGTAGAGTAAATCCCTGTAAGAACTTGGTATATACGATAAAGAAATTTCTTGGGAAGATGTGTAATTAATATGTAAAAAGAAAAGACACACACAAGAGAGAAGAGATATAAGGTATTACGTGTTGGAATAGATATCGTATATTTTGTGATACGAAACGGAAGAATGAAGAGGAAACGAAAGCGACCGAAGGAAACCAGAGGTATATATTGTTGTTATATTCTAATTTATAAATATGTACATGCGATTGTGTATTTTGTGCCATTTTACGAGTAGATTGTAACAACACCCGTTTGTTATTTCGTTCGGTCTGCGATCGATCTAGCGCATTACGAACACATTCCATAGAACATGGTATCCGAGATACCCTTCCCTTAATAAAAAGTATAGACAGAATATATTTACACGACTACACTTTGACTCGATGTGACGTATTTATTTGTTCCTACAGTGAGAATAAAAGCCGTTAATGACACTTCTTATCCCATTTCTAACGCCTCCTCGTATCAACAAGAGTGCGATCCTTGTCCCACATAATTCCTTTTTTCTTTTCCTTTCTGTTAAATAATTGATTTATCTTTTCTCCCGACACTTTAAATTTCGCTGTGTGCTGTGTGACAGTGTGTGACAGAGCTCAATTTTCATCGACTCGATGGTATCTCGACGGGGTTGCGATTTCAAATACGCACTTGTGGTGTGTCAATGGTAGCTCGGTGAATACTTACCATACGCGTACTAACCAATCACAATGTTTCATTTGAAACCGGGCGTTCCAAGGAAGTCGGCCATGACGGAGAAAACCTTACGAAACTGCACTTGGTATTCCCCGAATACAAATACAACGAACACAAGTGTCCACTTTCAGCAAATAGCAAACGATTTGCGCGCCATACCTCGCATTGCGGCTAACGATAATTTGCGCGCGATTCCCAGTCGTCGGTGAGTCGGCGGAAACGTGAAATTCATCGACGCGAATCCGAGAGTCCGTTACGTTACCTGGCCAACGTGCAAAATTTTCGGAACTCGGCCGTTCGTTCCGACCGCTCACCGCGTACCGCGGGATATTTACTTCTCGCAGTTATTCTCGCGATTCCGTGTTCCGCTGTAATACACACACATACACACACGCGCGCGACATTCACTTTCGGCACTCCCGATGATGATCATTAAAACGCGAGACTCAACTCGTCAGAATCACGAATAGTCACGGGCAACGGTTTTTTCGCACGGCACGGCACGCTATATCCCATAGCCCGCGCCATAACTGATCCATGGCAGCGCGAACAGCGCCGCGCGCGGTTGAAATGGACTCGTGCCGCGGTAGAGCCCACCAATCACACGGTGAACCGTTTTCTTGCAGTGCTGGTGCTACCAGAGAGGACGCTGAAAGCGGCCAATACGGCGTTTTCGGCCGGACACCGATTTTTCGCACTGGAAATGGACGCCATCTGCATCCATTTTGAGAGGGGGACTACGATGCTACATCCACTTTTAGGTCTTGGTGGTAAAATCTGCATGTGGTGGCAGTCCGTGCTACATCCATTTTTACGGCGGTTTATGTCCGCGTGCTACAACCATAGTAGCGTACTTGACAAGCACGGTGAAGATAATAAGAAAAGGCGCCAAATACAAGCGCAACACGTATCGAGTTATTTTTAAAGATTTCAAATTCAAATTATTTTTTTAAGGTATATATGTGTACATAACATAAGTTTCCACAAGTAAAACTTATATAAAATTTACCTTTTTACACAAAAAGGTAAAAAAGACGCCAAGTACAAGCGCAACACGTATTGTGCTATTTTTAGAAACTTCAAATTCAAATTATCTTTTTAAGGTATATATGTGTACATAACATAAGTTTTTACAAGTAAAACTTATACAAGCGCAACATGTATTGTGTTATTTTTAGAAATTTCAAATTCAAATTTTTTTTTTAAAGGTATATATATATGTACATAACAAGTTTTTACAAGTAAAACTTAAAGATAATACATGAGATTTTACAAGTAAAACTTATTATATAAAACTTACCTTTTTAAACAAAAGGGTGAAAAAAAGGCGCCAAGTACAAGCGCAACACGTATTGTGTTATTTTTAGAAGTATCAAACTCAAATTATTTTTTTTATTGTATATATGTGTACATAAGTTTTTACAAATAAAACTTATAACTGCAATAAAACTCTGCAACACTTTTCTACTGTACAAAAGAAGTGATATATTAGAACAGTAGCGCCAACTGAGAAACCTAACATAACATAACATATATGACAGCATTTTTATTATAATAAAATGTACTTGTAAATTCTCTCTATATATATATATATATATATATATATATACGGTGTAATGTTTTATTTAAGTTTATATAGTATTGGGTGTGTGAATATGACTCCGCCCTTATTATAATATTATAATATTATAATATTATAATATTATAATATTATAATAAATTATAAACCTTCACTGTAGAATATACATGTCGAATGTATATATATTCTACATATTTTGATATCTTTTTATTCAAAGATGTTATTCTTATTATAATTGACAAATTGTCAATGATATCTAATTTGACTTTAAAAAACTATATCGAACTAAAACTTGATTAATACATATATGACAGCATTTTTATTATAATAAAATGATCTTGTAAATTCTCTTTATACATATACGGTATAATGTTTTATTTAAGTTTATATAGTATTATAATAAATAAATTATAAACCTTCATTATAGAATATATTATAATAAAAATGCTGTCATATATGTACTAAACAAGTTTTAGTTCGATATAGTTTTTGGTGCAGCCGCGCCAAGACTTTTTGTATTAAATATTTTTTATTGCATTTCTATAATAATTAATTTGTTACAATAACAAGTAAAATAACCATATAACTCAGTGTTCTAATAAATAATGATAAATTTTACTTGTAAAAATTTGTGTTATGGACATTTTTTGTAGCTAGGTTTTCTTGAACATTTAGAATAACATAACCTTTAAAAAGATAATTTTAAAAGATCCTTTAAAAAGATTCTTTAAAAAGATATTTTTTTAAATATTGGGCACTATTAACAAACGTGTTGAATTTTTATAACATGATATATTTTTTACTTTTAAAAGTTTATGTACATATATATATCTTACAAAAAAAAATAATTTGATAAGTTTTACTTATAAAAACCTTATGTTATGTACATAATATTTAAAAAGATATTTCTTTTAAATATTGGACACTATTAACAAACGTGTTAAATTTTTATAACACGATATAATTTTTACTTTTAAAAGTTTATGTACATATATTGTAAAAACTTATGTTATGTACATAATATATATATCTATATAAAAAATAATATATATATCTATATAAAATATATATAATATATATATCTATATAAATACATAAAATACATAATATATATATCTATATAAAAAAGAAAATAATTTCAATTTGAGATTTCTTAAAATATTAAGTTTGGTATACAATAATCATATATATATGTTAGGTTTCTCAGTTGGCGCTACTGTTCTAATATATCACTTCTTTTGTACAGTAGAAAAGTGTTGCAGAGTTTTATTGCAGTTATAAGTTTTACTTGTAAAAACTTATGTACACATATATACAATAAAAGAAATAATTTGAGTTTGATGCTTCTAAAAATAACACAATACGTGTCGCGCTTGTACTTGGCGCCTTTTTTTTACCTTTTTGTTAAAAAAAGGAAATTTTATATAATATTAAATATACGTACGTTTCACGTATAACGTGATTGACTTGGAGTATTCCGTGCCCACGGTGTTTGTTATTCATAGCGACGCATTCATACTTTCCCTGATCTGTTACATCGGGGATTCGATAATCTGCAAGGCACCTGAAACATAAAATGTGATATTCTCGAACAGCGTTCCTCTCAGGATTTTCCTGTCCAAAGAAAGATCAATGATGCGATCGCAGATCTCGTGTATGTCATGTCAAAATAGAGACAGTTTGAATTCAGCGTAATATGATTCTTGGAACAGACGTAAATAAGTATTTGTGAAGTTTGAAGCGAGTCTCTCACAGGCATGCTTTGAAAACACGAGTTGTTTTCATTTTCAGCTAACGGACGACGCAGGCATCAACACTGATCGGCAAGGTCAGCGACTGGTAGGGGGTAACCGTGCCTACCCGAATTTTTGTTTTCGTACGCTTATGCATGACTCCGTGATTGCGGAAAGGACATTGCGCCTCGGGCCGACGAACGACGCGCATACCGCGACGCAGAGTACGAGTGTCGGTAGTCGTATCGCGGTTAATACGCGTTTCTTTGTCCCCGAATCTTACTTGCGCGAGTGTTAGAGCTAGAATCAGTGTCGTCGCCAGTGCTACGACGGAGTATCCGGGGGTGCTGCGACGGAGGACCAGAACCAGAAGGAGGACGT